GCCATCCTCACAAACATTGCTAAGCTTGAGTTCAACGCTGCTGTCACTGTGCCAAACCATCTTGATGGGGGTCTTTTTCACTGATCCTCCACTTTACCAACCACGATATCCTTCTCTAGAGACTGGTTCCTCCTGATAATATGTCTAAAATATGAGAGACGAAGTCTCACAATCCTGGCATCTAAGGAGCATTCTGGCTGTACTTCTTCCAACATGGATTTGTTTGTTCTTCTGGCAGTTCACGGTACATTTAAAATTCTTCTCCAGCACCATAAGTCAAATGCATCAATTCTTCTATGGTATTCCTTATTCATTGTCCAACTTTCACATTTATGTGAAGCTACTGAAACTACCATGCCTTGGTTCAGGGGCCACCTTAGTCCTTAAACTGACATCTTTGTTCTCGAACACTTTAAAGAAGCCTTGTGCAGCAAATTTGCCTAACGCAATACCTTATTTGAATTCTTGACTATTGTTTCTATGATTATTGACAGCAGATCCAAGCAAAATGAAGTCTTTGACAACGTCAATTTTTCCCATTTATCATGATGTTATTGGTCCAGTTGAGGATTTTTACTTTTACACTGAGCTGCATTCCATACTGAAGGTTGTGGGCTTTGATCTTCATCAGCAAGGTTGTATCATCTGCACATTGAGTATCTTCTTCCAATGCTGATATTACATTCTTCATTGTATACTCCAGCTTCTCGGATTATTTGCTCAGTATACATAATGAAGAGGTACAGTGAAAGAATACAGCCCTGGCGCACACCTTTCCTGATTTTAAACAATTCAGTGTCCTCTTGTTCTGTTTGAACAACTGCTTCTTAGTCCATGTACAGGTTCAATCATAAGAACAAGTAAATGTTCCAGAATACTAATTCTCTGCAACGTTGTCTGTAGCTTATCATGATCTACACAATCTAAAGCCTTTGCATAGTCAATAAAGCACAGGCAGATATATTTCTGGTATTCCCTGCTTTCAAGATATATCTGATGTCAGCAATGATATCCCTGGTAATACGTCCTTGTCTGAATCTGGTTTGAACCTCTGGCAGTTTCCTGTCAATGTATTGTGACAGTCATTTTAAAAAATTACCCTTAGAAAATTTGTACTTTCATGTGATATTTATGATATTGTCCAATGATTTCCATATTTCCTTGAGTCTCCTCTCTTTGGAATGGGCATAGGTAGCCAAGCAGGCCAGCAAGCCTTCCAAATTTCTTGTCATACATGAGTGAATGATTCCAGTGCTGCTTCAGTCTGTTGAAAGATTTCAATTTGTATTCTAACAATTCCCACAGTCTTGTTCTTTTCCAATGCCTTCAGTACACCTTGGACTTCTTCCTTCAGTACTACTGGCTCTTAATTATATTTCTTGAAGTGGTTAAACACTGTCCATTTCTTTTTGGTATAGTGACTCTGTGTATTCTTCCTAAACCTAGAAAACAGAGCTGTAACACAAAAGATGGCAAGAGACAGCAGCAGGCTTGCCAGTGGAGCCAATAGAGGGGTAACACTTGCCCATTCAGGGCAGAGGTCATTGCAGGTTTTACCTCACAGGATCCTGTGTACGGGGTCTTCCTATAACAGGTGGAAATGAATACCAGCAGAGCTAAGAGGGTAACATTTCCTTGTGTAATGTATCCCATGAAACAGGCAGTGAGGAAGTAGGTAACAAGAAAACCTCACAAAGGGGCATCAAGATTAATTGGCATACATAGTCCACAAAGACAGTGCTCTATGTCCTATGTTGGTAATAGTGGCTGAAGTCTTAAAAGCTTGTGAGCAACCATCTAGGGTGCAACTTTTAGTATCTCCCCATCTGGAACAAAGAAGAGTGAAAAAAATCAAAGTCACACTGGAAAAAATTTAGTGCAATGGACTAATGGAATACATGAACTTTAACTTCCACAACCCTGAGACCCGAAGAACTAAATGGTGCCTGGCTACCGCTGCTGACTGCTCAGAAAGGAATGATAGCACAAGGTTCTGGATAGAGTAGAAGAAAAATGTGGAACAAAACTCAAAATCATTAAAGACCAGACTTGCTGGTCCGACAGACTGATGGAAACCCCAAAACTATGGCCCTTAGTCATCCTTCAGGTCTGAAAACAAACTCAACCCATAGCTTAAGTTTCAATCAAACAATAGACAAGTCTATAAGGTGTGGCACTGCGGGCTAATGCACTAAACTGTAAGGTCGGTTTGAACCACAAGGCCAGTGTTTCAAACTCACCAGCCGCTCCTTGGAACCTCTATACATAGGGTCGCTATGGGTCAGAACAAACTCGTGGCACTTAACAACAGTAACAATAACATACGGTGAACAATAACACCAGGGAAGTACACACTCTTTAGAACAACAACCAAATAAGATCAAAAGGGCTAAAACTTAGAAGGCATTTGCCAGTGCTAAAACTCAGAAGGTAGATATGGACAGGAAAGAAACAGTAAGTACAAGAAGGTGAGATGACTGTTATTATTACATTGTAGGGATTGCAATCAATGTCACAAAACAAAATTTGTATGAATTATCAAATGGAAAAACAACTTATTATGTAAACTTTCACTCAAATCACAATAAAAAGTTAAACACACACACACAAGGTCCTGTAAATCAGGGTAGTCTGTCAAAAGCTGGGAACCGAAGCGTAGAAGGGCCCAGTGGCAGAGGCTCGAGAGATCCTGTGCAAGGGTCTTCCACCAGCAAGGCAAGGCCCAGAGGCCTTCCTTGTAAGGTTACTCAGAGGCAGTGGTGATAAGATGTATGTGGCTCATCCCTAGCCGTCTGTGGCTGCTGGAAGTTTGATGCACAGTTGGTCTGCATGTGCAATGCTTTAATCAGTGATACTGAAAAATAAAAAAAAACTCACCAAAGGCTCTAAGTCCCTATCACTGAAGTCTGGTTTTGTGTGAGCTGAGGAGAGAGATAAGTAACTAACTCCTTTAGTTTGATTATTTGGTTTCCGACCCTTTGAATTTTCTCATCTATCACAACCATACTCAGAACCAAGTCCGTCCTTACCATCATATAAATGTCAAAATCCAAACTGCAAAAATCAGAAATCAAGTGAGCAATTATAGATGCTAATACCTGAATTCTGAAAGTTGAGATTTTTTAACTGTTTCCTCTCGTATCTGGATCATGCCCAACTCCAAGTCCCTTTTTAAACATCATCCATTACATTATGATAAACATAGTTATGTCTAACTACTGGCTACCCTAACCAACCTTATAAACTAGCTAAAGATGTACAAATAAATCCATGTTTTAAGTAAACTGTCAAGTAACACTTCATTAAATAAAAAAAAAACTTATAATCTGAAATGGCTTTTTAGTTATCTATTTTGGTTAAGTTCAAATTTTCTTTAAGCAACCCATATCATTATCAAAAATAAACTTGCTTACTCAAATCTGTAGTGTGACTACAAATTTTCTCATATTATTATCACCTTTAAATATTTCCCTCTTCTATTCTCAATTTTCTCCTCAAAGATATTTCTATTGTTTACATCAAATCTCTTAATAAATTCCAATGATAGATTTTAAACACTTAGCACAGCACAGAATAAACAATATAAATGGACTGCCATTATTTTCAGAATAATTAGGATCATTCAGAGGTTCAGAACTTAAGTTCAATCCACTGGTTATGTTCCAATGATTGTTGTTAAGTACCGTGGAGTCGGTTCTGACTCATAGTGACCCTGCACAGGGTTTCCAAGGCTGTAAATCTTTACGGGAGCAGAACGCTTTCATCTTTCTCCCGTGGAACTACTGGTAATTTCGAACTGCTGACCTTGAGGTTAGCAGCCCGATTCACAGCCACTATGCTACCAGAGTTCCTTGTTCCAATGATTATTGTTGTTATGTTCCAATGATTATACTGTATTAAATATAAGTTATGATACCAGTAGCAGTACTATATTTAATATCACAACTGACAATATTTAAAAGTAAATCTGACAATATTATATTGCAAAAAATAATCATTTCAAAGTCCACTCATAGATTCGTACAGAATACACTACTTGTTATTATATTGAAAGATATATAATAATATTCTATTGATCTGATTACACATTATATCTTTCCATATAACAAATAATATATTCTATAACAAATCTTTGTGACAGTTCCTATAAAAAAAAAGTAACAACTAGTTGTATATTAAAATACTGTAAGTTCAAATATCTTAATATTCAAAGTACCTATAAGTGATAAGTTCCTATAAACAAAATGTTAAAAGAAATATTTATTATCTTTTAAGGAAAAAGGATAAGATCAGCAGTTCAAACCTACCATGTGCCTCTTGGAAACCCTATACAGGGTCACCATGAGTTGGAACCGACTTGATGTCACTTAACAACAATAGAGATGGGACTCATAGGAGGAGGCTTCAAAAAGTTTGAAGAAAAATTCCATTAACTTTTCCACAAAATTTCTGAATTCCACTTTTCCCCTCATAAATGCGTAACCTAAGGAACGTTATCTCCTATATAAAACTTTTGGCTTCTTAATTACTGAAGAGGCATGTCAATTCAGAGAGAAATAAGATGAGGGTAAAGAAGACAAAGACTAAAAGGGAACCTCACAATTTATAACAACGGTATGTTGTTGTTAAATGTTGTCAAGTTGGTTCTGACTCAACAACCCTGTACAGGGTTTCTGAGTAGCAGATCATGGGTTTGAACAATGACATAGTCCAGTGCTTATCCTATAGTGCTACACAGGCATACTTCTCTTGAATATAAGCTGCTGCAAGCTGCTGCCTTTTATTGGGAAGTTGGCTTTTACATTAAAGTGACAATAAATAATTCTGCCTATAGGAACAAATGTGTTTCAGATGTAATTATATTCTAGCTAAAGAATAGTAAGACAAAAACTGCTTTAGTCTAAAAGAACCTAAAAAATTCATAAGTTTCTAGTTGATAATGAATGATCCTAATACTTTCAATCATATAAAACAAGGCAGCAAAGATCAAAATTACTTACGTGTATTTTTCCAAAGGTTTCATCAAATGAGTTTTTTACTATCAAGAAAAGAAAAAGAAAACTATTAGCATCACTTAAGAGTGTTATGGAATAAGAATTCCTCTAAACAAGACCTTTGAAATGCCACCATATTTTTTGCTAAAGCTGAACTTAAACATGAGAACAAAATTTGTATGTAAACAAGGAAGTAACTTTTAGACTTGCTATACTTACCATTCTTCCCTTGGAAGTAATAGTTTTTCTCCATAATTATTAAGAGTAGATGCTCTAGTATCAAGAGGGGTTAGGTTAGGTTCAGGTCACAGTTCCACTACAACATGACTTAATCTAACACCTACTTAGCCACTTTAAAGTAACCTGACCAGGAGATGCTGGTGGGTTCAAACAGCTGACCTTTTGGTAGCAGTACCTACCTTATATAGTTATTGTTACTGTTGTTATGTGCTGTGGAGTGAGTTCCGACTCATAGTGACCCTGTACAGGGTTTCCGAGGCTGTAAATCTTTACGGGAGCAGAAAGCCTCATCTTTCTCCCGCGGAACAGCTGGTAGTTTCGAACTGCTGACCTTGCGATTTGCAGCCCAATTTGTAACCACTACACTACCAGAGCTCCTTTATATAGTTATTGTTATGTTATTAAGTGCCGTCGAGTCGGTTCCGACCCATAGCGACCCTGTACAGGGTTTCCGAGGGTGTAAATCTTTACGGGAGTAGAAAGCCTCATCTTTCTCCCGCGAAGTGACTGGTAGTTTCAAACTGCTGACCTTAAGGTTCGCAGCCCGATTTGTAACCACTATGCTACCAGAGCTCCTTAGGAGGATTAAATTAGACAAACCATATAAAATGCTCAGCGTAGTGCCTAGCACTAGATATGTACTCAAAGTTACCTATTATTATTTAAGGAACCCTTGTGGCACAGTGGTAAATGCTTGGCTACTAACCAAAAGGTCAACACTTTGAACTCAACAGCCTCTCCATGAGAGAAAGATATGGAAGTCTGCTTCCATACAGATTGTTGTTGTTGTTAAGTTCTGTCAAGTCAGTTCCAACTCAGAGTAACCTTGTTTAGGGTTTCCAAGGAGTGGCTCAACGGTTAAGCAAAAGGCTACTAACCGAAAGGTTGGGAGACTGAACCCACCAGTTGTTCCCCGGAAGAAAGATATGGCAGTTTGCTTTCGTAAAGATACCAGCCTAGAAAGCTCTATGGGGCAGTTCTACTCTACCCTACAGAGTTGTTATGAGTAGGAATCGACAGCAGCACACAGCATTATTCTTACTATTGTGACTCTGTGTTTTGTTGTTGTTTATTTTTTAAGATTTTATTTCTTTTTAAAATACAAGGTAAAGCAATTAACAATTTGAGAAATCTATAAGATTTATTTAGAATTCTGACTTCTAAAACAAATATCCTAATTCTTGCTAATATCTATAATTAAAAAATTAGCAAAGAAAAAAGTACAATCAATGAAGCTAAGAGTCTCAATATTAATCTAAGTTTCCAACAAAATATTACATTGTAAAAAAAGGATTTACAGCTTTTCCATCCAACCACCCAAATCCTTCCCTCCCAAAATACATAAACAAAATTACTGCTGAATATTTAGCATCTTGTATGGTAATTATTTAGAACCTATTTTACTTCATATTGCATGGAGAAACACTAAAAGCTTTCAGACACCTGGATCTCTATAATCCAGGCCAAGTCTAACTTGATGTTACATAGTAAAGTAGTTCACACTGGCTAGGTTTCCTTTCTGATAGGCTTTTCTATTTTTATTTGAGAAAACAGGAAGCTCCATTGGAACCAGGAACTGCCTGATTCTAAGAAAGTACATGTGTGAGGATCAGTTTAACAAGGTACAATAAAAAAGCAAGGGAAAAAAAAATATCCTGCTATCATCTAAAGGAATTTTGCTAATGGATTCTTATACAACAAATCTCTGTACAGCAAAATGGATTCAATGAAGATATATCAAAAGTACTCAAAAGAGAAATTGCTTTTTGTTGTTAAATGTCATTGAGTCAGTTCCAACTCACAGTGACCCTGTATAAGGTTTCTGAGGAACTGCTGATGGGTTTGAACCACTGACCTTTCGATAAGTAGTCCACTGCTTACCATATATCACACCAGAGAAACAAAATATAGCTTAAAGACTAAACAAAATGTTGAGAACATCTTTAACTAAAAGGGATATACTCTTTTTAATTGTACTTTTTAAATGTAAAATTTGAATAATTTATAATAAAACTAAACATGTCAGACTGCAAAGTTGCTTGAACTGCAAGGTCAGTAGTTCAGGCTCACCAGTTGCTCCTTGGAAACCATATACAGGGTCGCTATGGGTCAGAATCGACTCAATGGCACTTAACAACAGCAACAACTTATTACCAAATAAGTATTTTATTTGTTTTTGGTAAGAAGTACAATTCTTAAATAAAAGTATGTAATTCCATAAAACAGGATTTAATGTTTATGAAGAAAGTCATGCATGGTTGTTGTTGTTGTTGTTGTTAAGTATCATGGAGTCGGTTCCGACTCATAGTGACCCTGCACAGGGTTTTCGGAGGCTGTAAATCTTTACAGGAGCAGAAAGCCTCATCTTTCTCCTGCGGAATGGCTGGTAGTTTCGAACTGCTGACCTTGAGGTTAGCAGCCCGATTCATAACTACTATGCTACCAGAGGTAGCATTACCTTTTTAGCTATATATATATATATATAATTTTTTTTTTTTTTTGTCTAGTCAAGCCTTGTTGTTGCTGTTGTTAAGTGTCGTCGAGTCAGTTCTGACCCACAGTGACCCTGTATAGGGGTTCTGGAAAATTACCTCTTCAAATATCTCTATTAAAGTATTTTCTGCAAATATTCACTGACCCAACTGCTCAACTGTGAGTCACTCGGGACAGACACCATGCCCAGAGTCAAATATCTTATCAGACACACTAGTCCAGGCTTGAAAAGTGCTAACTGTGCTATCTAGAGTAAGCCTACTCTTCATTATTCTACTCTGTGTGTGCTAACAATGACGTAAAAATACTAAATTCTGCAGGAAGCTAGAGAAGGGTATGTTCTGAGATCAGATAGGAGAAGAAAGGATGATACAGAGAAAACCAAAAACACCTTTTGTATCTTTCTAGATTTCCACCTTATGACTCACAGGCTAAGACACCAAAATAGGACATGTCTAAAAAATCACCATACACCTCCTCCTCTATTTAAAAATAAATAAATAAATAAAAATTCCCCCAAGTCTATGTCACCTGTTAAAATAACAGGCGGACTTGTTGAATTATAAGACCAGAAACAAAACCTAGTCTTAAGATTGTTTTGAAAAGGAAATTCCATCTCCAAAAAAAGCAATTCTAACAAAGCCAAAAGTCTTCTAATATCTCAAAGAAAGATCTTTATACATCTAACTTTTTTCCCCTAAAACTATTCCAGTTCCAGGCATACCATTTTATTGAACTTTATTTTACTATACTGTGTACTTTTAACAAATTGAAGATTTGTGGCAACCCTGAGTCAAACAAATCTATTGGCACCATTTTCCAATAACATGTGCTCACTTCATGCCCGTCTCAAAGTTTGGTTATTCTCACAATAAGAGAAGGCTTCAAAAAGTTGGTCAAAAATGGAATTAAAAGATAATGGAATCAGAGTTCAACTAGAAGAAGAAAGAAGAGGGAAAAAAGAGTAATCTGATACAAATTGATGAACCTGACCTACACCTATGGATGCAGTAGCTCAAAAGAGGGATCAAATCCTTACAGCAAGGATCACTCCCATCTCCTCCATACACAGAGTAGACAGGAATGGGTAACAAAGACACTGGCTACCCAAAATGGGGGGAAACGGGAGGGGGGGGGTTTACAAAGGCAAGAAGTGACTGGCTTATAAGCTTTCAAGAGGGTACCTAGATTCAGAGGGCATGAAGGAAGGTAGAATCTCCACTGAGTAGTATACAATCTGTCTAGGCAGAGCTGATGAAATGAAATGCAGATGGGTCTCTTGTGATACAATAGTGAATAATTGTTATCAGGACTGATTGTGAGGGTTGTAAATGTAAAGGTAGACGTTTTTGTAGTAAGGAGAGGAGTGATTAACTCTTCAGCATAGGATTGGAGGTCCCTGGGACCATCAAGAGAGAAAAGCGGAGAACGGGACCCTACCCAGAGAAACAGTGATGCCTGAGACAGAGGCAGAGACGATGACGTGGAGATATGGAGCATTTGGGGACTTTAGACACAGAGAGGGAGAGGGGCTGTGTGCTGATGATTGGGGGGCAGGCTTGTAGTGTATACTCTTTGGGTGGTTGATGATGCATAGAGGGGATTGTAACCATAGCAATGAAACAATATATGATAGGCTGAATGTAAAACTAATGTTATCCCTTGTAAACTCACATAATTCACAATAAAACATTAAAAAAAAAAAAAAAAAGATAATGGAACACACTTTCACAAACTTTTGAAGCCCCCTGTATTTCAAACTTTTTCATAGAGCTAATCTACTACCAAGGACACTGCCATCAAGTTAATTCTCACTCATGGCGAACCTACACAGGGTTCCTGAAACTGCAAACCTTTATGGGAGCATAAAACCTTTACGGGAGCAAATTCAACTGGCGAATTTGAACTGCTGACTTTGTGGATAGAACTCCAGTGTTTACCCTACAGTGCCACAGGGGTCCATGGCTCCTAATGTTGTTGCTGATAAGTACTGTCAAGTTGGTTCCATTTCATAGCGAGACCCTGTATAGGGTTTCCAAGGAGCAGCTGGTGAGTTTGAACCACTGACCTCGTCATTCCAACAACCTTGAGATAAAGTGCTTACCCTATAGCGCCACACCAAGACTCCAAATAGACTGCCCCAAAACCCACACCCACTGCCACTTTGTCAATTTCAACTCAGCAACTCTCTGTAGGGTATCTGAGGCTGTAAATCTTATGAGAGCAAATAGCCTCATCTAGTGGAGTCCTGATGTGGTGCTACGGGTTAATGTGCTGGGCTACAAGGCTGGTGGTTCAAGCTCACCAGTCA